CAGAAAAAGAAAGTAAAGCACCAAGCACTACACACAATACACTTCATTACAATAAAACATAAGTCCACCTACAATCAATACACCACCCTTTATTTTAAAACCTAACTTTTAATAAAATTTGAAACAATAATTAGACATGTGGTTTTAATCTTATGATCAGTATATAGTGAGATGGCTGATCCTGCATCTGTCAACCACCTATACACCATTCATAAAATTTAAAATGCACTGCAAACATACATTTTAAAATTCAAATACATTTTTTAAAACTAATATTATTGAATACTGTAAAAAAAAAAAAAAAAAAAATAGTTAAATGAGATTCCCCTCTGTCATATAATGGAACTGTCTGTGAGTTCGAACTATACCTTTTATGGGGGTAAAAAAAAAAAAAAAATACATTACATTAAAAAAATTATTTCAATATATAGTAAACATTTGTTAAAAATTACAATAAAATTACATCATAACATATTTATTAAATAAATATAAATAGGATCTCAATCAAACCCAGCCAGTACTAGAAACATGGTACAATCCTTAAACTTTATTGGAAAAAAAAACCTTTTTGTCATTTGTGGGTAGTGGAGAGCATGGAGGGTGCTAAAAAAAAAGCGAATGGGCAGGTTCAGTTATGCGCAAAACTGCATTCTCGTGGCAAGGGTTGTGAGCAACTGGGATAGATTATTTGAACCCCGCTCCAGAACCTTGTCACATTCCAAAAAAGAAGAGATCTGGAATTTAATTGTACAGGAGGTCAATGCTGCTGGGGACATAGTCCGAAGCATTGATACATGCAGGCGTCGTTTGAACGACATAAAAGCTCAAGTTAAGAAGAAACTCGCCTTCATAGCACGACATCAACGAGGTACAGGTGGAGGACCTCTAGCCAATGTTACATTCACAAGTTATGAGGAAGAATTAAAATGTTGCCTTGGGCGTGGCATCATTAGCGGAGTACCGGGAGAACATGATTCAGATGCTAACAGTAAATGATTTTCTGCTTTATTTAAATTAAACATACATTTTTATTTTCTTTCAAAAGTTATAGAATTTTGTTTTGATTCACAGTGTTAAGAGTACAACCTGGTGAGGAAACTGAGGCAGAGAATGTGATGGCCAATGTAAATGAAGGCAGTGAGACAATGCTCCTGTTTGATGATGAAGGTAGGTAATTATTTTTGAATATTTTTTTTTAAAGGCTTGCTGCCCACCCTGAGAAAATTTACTGTGGGCAGGCAGCATGGACATGATGGATCACGTACATGCACATCATCCATCCTGCTCCTGTTTAACCATTTCCCACCCCTCCAAAATCAAAATGATGGCATGGAAGAACTTTCATTGATCCAAGTTGGCGTCATATGACATCCTCCTGGATCGTGGCCACACTGCGGCGAGATCTATCGCCAGTACCATTTGACCTATGTGGCCAATCACAGCAGGTGACATGACTGTCACGGGAGTTACTTTTGGTGGGGGGCCCATGGAACACAGCTCACTTTGGAGAGGTGGGGAGACCCCGGTCTCAGCTCTCCATATCCCTCTTATGTGTAAGTCACCCTGTGCCTGTTAGGGGTGCAGGGTGAAATGTCCTGATATTGTGTATACATGTATAGGAGATAGGTGGGGGTTGTGCATTGTTTGGTGTTATGTGATTGCATCCCATTGTTCTATTGTGTGTCTTGCTTGGGAGCAAACTATTAGATGTATGTGTTTGTGTATTGGCTTGGTCGGGGGTGTCTGCTGATGTGTTTCTTGTTGCTAGATTTGGTTTGCTCCGCCCTGTGTCCTTATGCAGGGAGGGGAGAATTTGTTCCCTTGAATGTATATATCTTGTGTCTGTGTTAAAATAAAGCAGTCTATTTCCTGGTTTTACTGGTGTCTGTGGATCTGTGTTCAGACAGGGAAGCGGGAGTCTAACGGAAATACCCAAGTGCAGTCGGGGTACGGTTCCGTTACAATGACAATTGTAAACAATGGATGGACTCCTTTCATGCCATCCATTGTATACAATTCTCATGTCACCTGCTGCGATTGGTCACAGAGGTCACATGGTACAGACTGGGTCAATCACAGCCCATCTGTGTCATGTTATTTTCTGTGGCAATTCACAGGTAAGCACAACAAAAAACACTGAATGAATCTATTTCATTCATGGAATGCTTGCCTATAGCTGTTAAAAAAAAAAACTTACCCACACTATTACAATGGTAATGGTAAGTGTTTTAACCACTTTAGCTCCTGAGGATTTACCCCCCTTAATGACCAGGCTTCTTTTGTACTTGGCGCTGCACTAATTCAACTGATAATTGTGCGGTCATGCAATGCTGCACTTAAACAAAATTTACTTCCTTTTTTTCACACAAATAGAGCTTTCTTTCGGTGGTATTTGATCACCTGTGCGCTTTTTATTTTTCATGCTATCAACAAAAAAAGACCAAATATTTTTGAAGAAAAACAATATTTTTTACTTTCAGCTATAAAAAATATATAGTAAACTCAAAGTTATTTATAAATTTAGGCCAAAATGTGTTCTGCTACATGTTTTTGGTAAAAAAAATCCCAATAAGTGTATATTGATTGCTTTGTGTGAAAGTTATAGCGTCTACAAACTATGGTATAGATACTGCAATTTACGCCATTTTTTTGTATACAGTGCTGCGCTAGTTTAACGGACAATTACGCGGTCATGCAATACGGTACATGAATGAAATTTTTGTCCTTTTTTTTTTTTTAACACAAATAGAGCATTCTTTTGGTGGTATTTGATCACCTGTGCACTTTTTTTTTTTGGCGTTATAACCAGAAAAAGTTTTGAAGAAAATATTTTCTCATTTTGGTCATAAAAAATATCTAGTCATAAAAAATATCTAATAGGCCAAAATGTATTCTGCTACATGTTTTTGGTTAAAAAAATCCCAATAAGTATATTCATTGCTTTTTGTAAAGTTATAGCGTCTACAAACTATGGTATAGATAATGGAATTTAGATAGATTTACTTTCTGACTGCCCATCACATTTCTTGAGGTGCTAAAATACCAGAATAGTACAAACACCCTCAAATGACCCCTTTTCGGAAATTAGACACCCTAAGCTATCTGCTGAGAGGCATATTGAGTCCATGGAAGATTTTTTTTTTCCCACAAGTTTCTGGAAAATGACAAAAACTTTTTTTTTTTTTTTAACACGAAGTTGTCATTTAAATGATTTATTTCTCGCACAAGCCATGGGTATATGTGGAATTACACCCCAAAATACATTCTGCTACTTCTAACGAGTATGGGGATACCACATGTGAGACCTTTTGGGAGCCTAGCCACATACAGGAGCCTGAAATCCAGTGACCACTTTGAAAGCCTGAAGGTGCGTAACTTCCTCATTACACTTCCTCACTACCTATCACAGTTTCGAAGGCCCTGACATGCCAGGATAGCCCCAACCCCCCCCCCCCAAAATGACCCCTTTCTGTAAAGTAGACACCCCAAGGAATTTAAAAAGAGGCATGGTGAGTATTTTGCAGATTTTTTTTTTTCTCACAAGTTTTTGAAATATAAAAAAAAATAGAAAAAATATGTTTTGTTTTTTTTCTTCATTTTCCAAAAACTTGTGGCAACAAATGAGATCTGCAAAATTGCTTTTTATCAAATTCTTTGGTGCGTCTACTTTCCGAAAAGGGGTAATTTGGGGGGGTTAGGTGCTATCCTGGCATTTCATGGCCTCCGAAACTGATAGGTAGTCTGGAAGTGTAATGAGGAAATAAAGCCCTTTAAAAGCCTGAAGGTGCTTATTGGATTTTGGGGTCCTGTACTTGGCTAGACTGCCAAAACGTCTCTCACATATGTGGTACCCCCATACTCGGGAGAAGTAGCAAAATGTATTTTGTGGAGTAATTCCACATATAACCATGGCATGTGTGAGCAGTAAATCATTTTATGTGACAATTTTGTGTAAAAAAAAAAATATATATACCGTATTTGCCGGCGTATAAGACGACTTTTTACCCCTTGAAAATCTTCTCAAAAGTCGGGGGTCGTCTTATACGCCGGTATACGGCATACTGACACTTTTTAGGGGGGCAGCGCGTTTTGCCGCCCCCCCTTCCCCCAATGGAAGGGACACTAAGTACAGGGGTGGGCAGCGGCTGTTTCTTACCTGGTTCCGGTCCCACGACGATCCGGTCCAGGAAGCGCGGCTGCGCCTTCAGTTCGGCCACTGGATGTTCGTGCGGCTGCTCGGCTCCACCTCCTCACCAGTGATTGGCCGCCAGAACTGTAGCTCAGGAAAAGGCACACAGGCGGCCAATCACCGGCGAGGGGGTGGAGCCGAGCGGCCCCGCGAAAATCGAGTGCAGGACCAGCAGGTAAGTGGTCAGTGTAGAGGTGCTGCTGCAACCACATATGCTGGCTGCAGCAGCACCATACGAGAACAGGGTCAGCAAGTGTCAGTGGGAGGAATAGTGCCCCATCATTGGTGTCACTGATACCAATGATGGAGCACTATTCCTCCCACTGATACCAATGATGGGGCACTATTCCTCCCACTGACACCAACGATGGGGCACTATTCCTCCCCCCCACTGACACCAACGATGGGGCACTATTCCTCCCCCCCACTGACACCAACGATGGGGCACTATTCCTCCCCCCCCACTGACACCAACGATGGGGGGCACTATTCCTCCCCCCCCCTGACACCAACGATGGGGCACTATTCCCCCCCCCCCACTGACATCAACGATGGGGCACTATTCCCCCCCCCCCCCCACTGACATCAACGATGGGGCACTATTCCCCCCCCCCCACTGACACCAATGATGGGACACCATTCCTCCCACTGACACCAATGATGGGGCACCATTCCCCCCACTGACACCAATGATGGGGCACTATTCCCCCCACTGATACTAATGATGGGGCACTATTCCTGCCACTGATACCAATGATGGGGCACTATTCCCCCCACTGATACTAATGATGGGGCACTATTCCTCCCACTGACCAATGATGGGGCACTATTCCTCCCACTGATACTAATGATGGGGCACTATTCCTGCCACTAATGCCAATGATGGGGCACTATTCCTGCCACTGATACCAATGATGGGGCACTATTCCTGCCACTGATACCAATGATGGGGCACTATTCCTCCCACTGATACCAATGATGGGGCACTATTCCTCCCACTGATACCAATGATGGGGCACTATTCCTGCCACTGATACCAATGATGGGGCACTATTCCTGCCACTGGTGTGCATTGGAAGAGGGGTAGTCTTATACGGCGAGTATAGCCCAAACACTACATTTTAGCAGGAAAAGTAGGGGGGTCGTCTTATACGCCCAGTCGTCTTATACGCCGGCAAATACGGTATATATTTATTTTTGTCATTTTCCAAAAACTTGTGGTAAAAAAATAAATTCTTCTATTGATTCAACATTCCTCTCAGCAAATAGTTTGGGGTGACTACTTTCCAAAAAAGGGGTCATTTTGGGGGGGGGGGGGGGGGCGTTTTATGCCCAGCATTAGAAGTTTATGCCACACATCATTCACTCTTCTAGCCACCTGAAGACTAAGCCTTTTTGTTCACATGAAAGAAATCCGCCGCCGCCGCCCCCCCCCCTTCCCCCAATGGAAGGGACGCTAAGTACAGGGGTGGGCAGCGGCTGTTTCTTACCTGGTTCCGGTCCCACGACGATCCGGTCCAGGAAGCGCGGCTGCGCCTTCAGTTCGGCCACTGGATGTTTCGTGCGGCTGCTCGGCTCCACCTCCTCACCAGTGATTGGCCGCCAGAACTGTAGCTCAGGAAAGGCACACAGGCGGCCAATCACCGGCGAGGGGGTGGAGCCGAGCGGCCCCGCGAAAATCGAGTGCAGGACCAGCAGGTAAGTGGTCAGTGTAGAGGTGCTGCTGCAACCACATATGCTGGCTGCAGCAGCACCATACGAGAACAGGGTCAGCAAGTGTCAGTGGGAGGAATAGTGCCCCATCATTGGTGTCACTGATACCAATGATGGAGCACTATTCCTCCCACTGATACCAATGATGGGGCACTATTCCTCCCACTGACACCAACGATGGGGCACTATTCCTCCCCCCCACTGACACCAACGATGGGGCACTATTCCTCCCCCCCACTGACACCAACGATGGGGCACTATTCCTCCCCCCCACTGACACCAACGATGGGGCACTATTCCTCCCCCCCACTGACACCAACGATGGGGCACTATTCCTCCCCCCCACTGACACCAACGATGGGGCACTATTCCTCCCCCCCCACTGACATCAACGATGGGGCACTATTCCCCCCCCCCCACTGACACCAATGATGGGGCACTATTCCACCCCCCACTGACACCAATGATGGGACACCATTCCTCCCCCCCCCCACTGACACCAATGATGGGGCACCATTCCCCCCACTGACACCAATGATGGGGCACTATTCCCACCCCCCACTGATACTAATGATGGGGCACTATTCCTCCACTGATACCAATGATGGGGCACTATTCTTCCCACTGACACCAATGATGGGGCACTATTCCTCCCACTGACACCAATGATGGGGCACTATTCCTCCCACTGATACTAATGATGGGGCACTATTCCTGCCACTGACGCCAATGATGGGGCACTATTCCTGCCACTGATACCAATGATGGGGCACTATTCCTGCCACTGATACCAATGATGGGGCACTATTCCTGCCACTGATACCAATGATGGGGCACTATTCCTGCCACTGATACCAATGATGGGGCACTATTCCTGCCACTGGTGTGCATTGGAAGAGGGGTAGTCTTATACGGCGAGTATAGCTCAAACACTAAATTTTAGCAGGAAAAGTAGGGGGGTCGTCTTATACGCCCAGTCGTCTTATACGCCGGCAAATACGGTATATATTTATTTTTGTCATTTTCCAAAAACTTGTGGTAAAAAAATAAATTCTTCTATTGATTCAACATTCCTCTCAGCAAATAGTTTGGGGTGACTACTTTCCAAAAAGGGGTCATTTTGGGGGGGGGGGGGGCGTTTTATGCCCAGCATTAGAAGTTTATGCCACACATCATTCACTCTTCTAGCCACCTGAAGACTAAGCCTTTTTGTTCACATGAAAAAGAAATCTGTATTTTTTGCTAGGAAATTAATTTAAACCCCCAAACATTATATATTTTTTTTTAAAGCAGACACCCTAGTGAATAAAATGGTGGGTACTACAATTTTTCATGGCACTTAGTACTCGCGCAGCGATTTTTCAAAAGCAATTTTTACTTTTAATGCACAAAAACACAATATATTGGCCAATTGTTTGGTAAAATATAAAAGATAATGGTATGCCGAGTAAATAGATACCAAACATGACATGCTTTAAAACTGCACATGCCCGTTCAATGGCGACAAACTGCAAACATTTTTAATATCCATAGGCAGCGCTTTAAAAGCCACCATTTTAGATTTACAGAGGAGGTCTAGTATTAGAATTACTGCCCTTGATCTGACGTTCAGGGCAATACCTCACATGCATGATGCAACCGCTGTTTACATAACGGCACAGGGTCAAGGCTTGTGCACACAGGTGTGCGCGTATGGGAGGGGCAATTTTAATTTTTTTTTTTAGTTATTTTGATTTTTTTTTTATTATTTTTACATTTTTACATTTTTTTTTTTTTTTTAACAGGGAATGCAAATAACCCCTATAACTTCAATGGGCATTGTCATATATTCTTTTTTGAGAAATCTGGGGTCTATCAAGCTCTAGATATCTCCTCTGCCCTTACATTATCTAATCAAACCAAAATCGGTGTGTTTAGATGCTTTCCCAATTTACAAATGGCGCTGTTTATATCCTGCGAAACTGAAGTGATGAAATGCTTGTAGCTTCCGAATTCTTAGACTATAGAGATGATTGGCACCATTCTGGTCTCCAATCAGCTCTATGGTCAGCTGGCAGAAAACACCGGCTGCATTCTCAGGTTCCCCTGATGGCACGGGACTGCCCGAGAAGGCCGTGGAAGGCAGCGGGGGAGGGGGGACATCATCTCCCACTGCTTGTAAAAGCAATCTTGCAGCTAATTAGCCACTAGGATTGCTTTTACATGAAAGCCGATCACCGGCTGAAAAAAAAAACGACACCAGGATGATGCCTGCAGCTGCAGGCATCATCCTGGTATAACCATTCAAATCCAGTGATGTACCAGTACATCGCTGGTCCTTGTTGGTTATATATGCTTTTTTTTTTTTTTTTTTTTTTTCTTATGCAGCCAGTGGACTGAATGAAAAAATGAGAAGAAATCTCTGCCAGAAAAAAAGTGTGTGGTATGCCCACCATTAGAATATACCACCCTGCATCCACCCACTTCTAATGGTGGGCACACATTAGGTCACACTTTGCCACAAGTGCCAGTTCCAAGATTGTACAAATGTCTAAATAGTGGCATGCTTGAATAAAAATTGTCCACGTATAAGTGGTACCCCATATGGAGAAATGATGACACCAAGTCCCGAACCATCTTGCCACTGCTCCCCATGTAGTCTGGGCATCCAGAGGGCTCCATGTGACTATCTTTTCCCTCGTAAATCTGAAACTTATAAGTATAGCCTAAAAGAAAAAATATAAGAAAGTGAGCGCTCTCACATCAGCAGCCAATGCACCCAAGGCAATCACAGTAAAACCTTCAAAAAAACCTCTGATGATGTGCAGGAGCACGAAAGGCCTTAGGAGGAGCCAGCAGAGCGTGACATCTTAGCCGCCTGGAGCCACGAGGAGGCCCGGCGGCCATCTTACTTCTGGGTCAGTCACACTTTACTTTTATCACTCATTGTCGAAGTGTCACTGCCCTGTTTTTAACGATTATATTTTTGGAATAAAATTTTTTTGATTTTACCTACTACACTATGAGGTGTTTTTTGGCTCCTATTGGAGCTAATAAATTTTAGGACATCCTATTATTCATCTTGACCACCGGAGGGAGTTCTACTCATTATTCACTCAGTCTAAAGGGGATTTCTGGATCTGGAGGCTGTCCATTACACCAAGATCATCTGCTCCCGGATGGTTATCAATCGTTCCCGCTTGAGGGATTTCCAGGGGCCATACTACACATGCGCTTTTTTATAGCGCGTCCGGTGATGTGCGCATTTTTACTGTTTGATCCTGGCTTTTTTCTATGCAAGATCCTGCGATAACTTGTTTGGACATTATCATTATTATCCATTTATCTGATGTACTGGTCTTTTTCTCTGTTTAATGTTATATACCACATTGTGTTTCGGATCATCTGAAACATGTATGTGTTCATAGATCTTATATTCATTCGCGCCGCACTTTTTATATTTTTGTGTATAAGTATAGCCTGTTGTCCTCTCACAGGTCTTCTACATCTTGACCTCATATCTGGCACGATTGCAGGGGAGAAATTGTTTGAATGCAAGGCGGCCAGAAAAATTATTGAGGGACTCCTCAACGCAGATGTTTTGCTGGGGAGTATGGACATCTGCAAATTTTAGGTTAAGGTGATTTGCGAGGGGCTGAATTTTGTGGAGCCGGTCAAATTCAGGGTTACCCCGAGGATGACAGTGTATTGTCGCTGAAATGCATAAAACACATTATACTCTCATATCTATTCCTGGCCACGGCAGCAGAGAACACGGCATATGATGAATCGGGTCTGCGGACCAATACAACCGCAATTCATTTCTTTTAGTAATGCCCATGTTGAGGGTTAGGCCCCAAAAAAATGTAACTTTGAAAACCGTAATGAGTTTCCATGCGAATGGTCTGGCAAGGTTTGAATTTGGGTTGCCGGCAATAAATTGTTGTTTCATATATAAACTGCTTTGATCCACAATCAACGCATACAGATATTCCATGAAAAACTGCTCCAAAAATCAAGGAGGTATGTGAAAGACCAAGATGTACTAGACCGCTGGTACTCGCCAGTTAACCAAAAGGTAGAGCGGCACTAGTACTGGCACTCTGCTGCATATGAGAGTCATCAAAATTTACCGGCAAGTGCTAACAGAGATCATGCCTGATTCTGCGAACACTGCAGTTTTGTGTGCAATGTATCAAGTGACAGGCACTTGCTGGGGGAGAAGGGGGGGGGTAAGCGTAGGGGCTAAACGCAGTGTTGGCAGGTGCCGGGGTTGATCCCGCTAACGCTGCGTTTTTGGGGGCGCTATACTAATGTGAACGCTGGTATAGTGCTGACCTGATCAAAGATATTGACCCGTTCAGACACTTTACTATATGTGATTTTGCGAAACCATGCCGCCCTGTAGCAGTATTTCTGCTGTAGGGTGGTCAGAAAGTGGTTACAGAAGAGGTTTGTGTTACGGCGCTGCGTTACTTTAACTGACAATTGCGCGGTCATGCAACACTGCACCCAAATAAATTTACATCCTTTTTTTCCCACAAATTGAGCTTTCTTTTTGTGGTATTTGATCACCTGTGCATTTTTAATTTTTTGCGCTATAAAAAAAAAAGCTGACAATTTTAGAAAAAAAAACAATATTTTGGACTTTTTGCTATAAAACATGTCCAGTAAAAAAAAATAAAAAAAAATCAAATTTTGTCACAAATTTCATCCAAAATGCATTCTGCGACATGTCTCTGCTAAAAAAAACCGTGCAAATTAATTGGTTTACATGAAAGTTATAGCGTTTACAAATGGCGGGAAAGATACTGGGATTTTTAATTTTTTTATACTAATAATGGCGGCAATCAGCGACTTATGGTGGCGATCAGCGACTTATGGCAGGACTGCGGTGGACATTTTGACACTGGGGGGGAACTGACTTGGGGTCACTGACATCCCCAGTGACACCAATACAGTGATCAGTGAAAAAAAAAACCCCACTGACACTGTACTAAGGGCACTGGGGAGGAAGGGGTTAACATTTTTAGAGTTTACTGTGTGAGGGGAGTGTTTTACTAGGGGACGGGGGTGTGTGCTGGATGGGGACAGGCTGATCGAGGGAGAGAAACTCTTCTCTCCCTCTTCAGCTTGTCACGAGCTGTCAGGGAACTGACACAGAGCAGGGCTGTGTATAAACAATGCAGCCCTGCTCTGTGTCAGCGATCACTGTGAATCATGGGGAAACGGCTGGTAATGACCGGCCGTGACCCGGCGGCAGGGACCCGCTGCTGACACCCACGGGACAGGTAGGGCGGGCGTGTGCCTCCTACCTGTTTTGCAAAACCACGTTTTAAAACGTGGTTTTGCCTGCCCGTGCCGCCCAGCAAACGTATATATGCAGTGGCTGGGGCAGAAGAGGTTAAAAAAAAATCTTTCCAAAAAAAATGCTGTGCAGCATTGATGGGCGGCACTGATGGGTGGTACGGATGGGCACAGGTGGGTGGCACTACTGTGCACTGATGTGTGGCACTGCTGGGTACAGGTGGGTGGCACTGCTGGGCACTGATCATCATGTCAGTGACCTGATGATCTGTGCCGATCTATCCTCTAACAATTTTTCAGGCTTATGAATAGTTTTCATTTTGTGGTGAACCCTCCTTATTTGCTTTCTTGAAATCTCCTCTTGATTGTAGACTTTGATGATACACCTAC